AAATCTATATTAACAACTGTTGACACAATTTCGTTTCATTTAATATATAAATCAATATAAATGACTAGTTTTTTATAATTTTTTGTTTCATTAGTGATAATATTCAGACCACTTATTATTGAGTGAAACGATATGTTAATTATAACTGAACTCTATTGCGAAAAATCCATATTTAAATGTTTAAATATATGTCAATCGATGATAACAACAGTAGACTTATATCCTATTTGTCCGTTATTTGTATGAAATCCCAACAATTTTAAGGCTTAATTGAAATCTTGTTCTCTATATTAATATAATGACAATCGATATCATATTTGATGACAACATATCACGCATTGCTTCTCATATTGTCATAATTAATGACACGATTTCGATGGCAAACATTCTTCACATTATTTTCATATAAAAAAATTAAGGCTCGGATATAATGGACAACAAATATAAGTGAAAGAAAGTTAAGTTTGAAGTGAATAAAAGGACTCAAAGAAAAGGATAAAAAAATTCTTTTCAAAGTATTTAACAAAAAAACTTATTCACCGAAAATATCCAGTAATTAAACGCAAACATAAAAGCCTTAATAAGTAATTATAAGTTATAAAAACCTATTGATTATTGCAAATAAATGACAAGTTTTAGAGGATTAGTGCAATCAATTCACTCATCCTTAGGGTTGTCCACCAAAACAGTTATAGTTTTTTGTTTATTGAAAAGTTCAGACACTTTGTTGAGGGCGTGAATCTTCTTCTTCCGTAGTATAACCCAAACGATTGCACCAATGATTATGATTACCACCAAAACGATCACAATTATCAATACAATCATCGCTACTGTGACTGATGTGTCGCTATGAAGGGGTCCGTCGTATGCAATATCTAAGAGAGTGGATCCGTTGTAGAAGTTGGCCAGAGTTGCCCCGCAATAGACCTGCAATCTCTCGTTGAGAACCGTACTCTTCGTGGCTCTGATTCTCAATTCTTCGACAGTTGACTGCAATTCTTGTTTCTCGGCATAAGTGGCGTTCGGAACACGAATTGAGTCCATTCGGTGGACGTCTTCGCGCGCCACCGGCTCTGCGTTCACAAAGAATGTGATGGCAGTCATCGGAAGAGATGCCGGAGCCGTACACCTGATCCTTATGTGAGAGTCGTCTTTGTTTATGAGCTTCGCTTCGGGAGGCGTACCGTCCGGTGGTCTGAATATAACTCTCATCTGTTTGACCAGTTCTGTGGTCTTTTCCTTTCCTCCAGACATACTCTTAACACTGCATTTGTAAGACCCGTCGCTTAATAGTGAGGTCGGCGTTATTGTAATAGCGGTGGTGCCGTCATCTTCGGCCAAATCTTCCCATTTATATAATAGGGTGTCGTTTCCAGCCGCCGGTGCCGACAGAGTTTGGTTATTGTTGTTATTTTCGGCTGAATTGTTGGGATTTTCATTATTATTGGTTTCCTGTTTTGCGGCCTCAGTGTTGGCCTCATTTTCGGGCGGATTTGTCGCCTCATTGTTCGGTGCATTCGTGGCCTCACTCGCCGTATCCGTCGGTCCTCCCGTCTGTCCCTCTCCTTAATTGGTTTCATATTTTATATAAAACATGTTAAAACATTTTATAAGGCAATTACTTATGAATCTTTTTAATTTAATTAAATCTATTGCATAAAATACATTTAAAATGCAATCGTTTATTAGTTATTCTGTACTCAAGTACTCATAATCTATAGTTTAAGTGTTATTATTTAAGTGTTATATTTTAACGTTAATATTTTTGCATTAAATGTCTGAGAATATGCATAATAATTGTATTTCAATCAATATTACTGAGAAAATGTATTGCTATTAGAGAATAAAATGCAGATTTAAGTGAAATCTTTGATTTAATTATTATAAAAATGTATTTTCGCAGAAATACATTGTAAATGACATAAAATATTAAAATCAGTCTCAAATCATTAGCAAGTATTTGGACTCAGATTTCAAAATCTTGGAATTAATGAGTTTTTGTACTTTTTCTTTAGTTGTTTTTTTCTGAGGATTTAGTACTTAATTCTCGTTATTAACACACTTTTCAGAAAATTTTAAACACAAAATTACTTAATAATGTGTAAGTAATTGCAAATTATATAATCCTAATACTATTAGTAATAAAAATGAATGATGATTATGTGAATTACCAGGATTAGGAGGGTTGGGTTCATTAGTGCCTTTACTAATCTTGATTAGTTTCCAATCGTTATCAACCAATTTATACCATTGAAGTGAAACAAAGGTCTCGTTTTCATTGCCTTCTTCTCTAACACATGTGAGAACTTGTTTCTCATTCGCCA